CCATCACTGTGGGAAGTTCTCAGACAGCACTGTTAGCGTCAGCGCCAAACCCTGGGCCTGACTATTCCCTATAGGAACTGATAAGCCCCTTTTATGCTTGCCCATTGGAGTTGGTTGGGATTATTAAAAAACCCAAAGAATCCCAAGGCCAGTAGCTCCCCAGCAAGCACACAAGACCAGAAACCAGCCCCTCTGTCAGGGCTGAGCACTGCTGTGTCTTCCTGAATCCACGTCAGGGCCAGAGACAACAATCGCTGAATCCCAAAATGTACTTCAGCACAGACATGCAGGATCCCAGCACTCTGGGAAGCTGAGGCACAAGGTGCAGACATCAGACCCAGCCTGGGTAATTTGGCAAGTTAAGGAGATACTGTCAAAACAACAACAACAACAACAACAACAACAACAACAACAAAAGCGTCTATGTAGGGGGATGTAGCTCAGTGTGCAAGTCCTGGGTTCAATCCCCAGAACTGGGGCTGGAGAGATCGCTCAGTGGCTTAATCGCCTGCCTAGCAAGCATAAGGCCTGGAGTTCAATCCCTGGTAACAAGAACAACAAAAAAAGTAGCAATCCCCAATCCCCAGAACTGGGGAAAAATAAAAGACATGATAACTAAAGGTAATGCTTGATTTTGGACTGGGTCCTGGATTGGGGAAACATTTTCTGGCAAGACTTTTATTAATTAGTACAGTGGGTCAGATTCTAGAATAGCCTGTGTCTTCCATAGTGTTCTATCCATGGTACATTTTTTTGAGTTTGATAACTGAATCGTAGTTGTACAGAAAACACGTAAAGGAATGTCCTCGGTCTTGAGAAATCCATGCTTACATCTGTAGCGGGTGAAGGGACAAGACCTGAGAAACTGATTCTCAAAACTGCTCAGGAGACAACAAATACAGAACAACTGATAAAGCAGGGTTGGGTATATCTGGGCAAAGGGTCTAACCTGAGCCTACTGCAGCTCATTTCCAGGTTTGAGAAATAGTTCAAGCTGGGCATGGTGGTATAAGCATGAGTGTATTTTAATTTGTACATACTGAGATTGTTTAAAATTGACATTTAAAAAAACGAAACAGAAACTTACCTAGCACACACAAGAGCCTGCTCAATCACCAGACCCGAAAGGCAGCGGGAGCGAGAGCGACTGCTGTTTTCTGTTGGTCTATTGCAAGGAGCAGTTAAGGCTTATTTTTCCTACCAATTCTGCAGATTTATATCCAGCAACCTAACAACTAACTTGAAGATAACATTATGCAATAAAACAACCACTGTCGAATTCCTATTATTTTGCTTAATGAAATTTTGAATCATTTCTAATGCTTTTTTTTTTTTTTTTAAATGTATTTGGTACAAGGTCTCACTACATAGTTCGGACTCATAGTGATCCTCCTGTCTCAGCCTCCCCAGGGCTGGGATTACAGGCATGCACCATGCCCAGTCTCAGTGGCCAGCTCTGCGTGCTCGGGGTTGGGACCGGTGCTGCATGTGGTGCTAGGGATCAAACCCTGGTCCCTGCGCTTGCCTGCAGACGCTTAGTCCACTGAGCTATCTCACCTGCCCTCTCTTTACTTTTTAATGCTGTATTGAACTTTTTCCTCCACCCCTTGTGATTATAACAAACTAGATAATAAGGATAGTAAAATGCATAGATTTTTCTAGAAAATACTTTTAGAATAAATCCCATTGCCAGAACGTTCCCCCCCCCCCCTTTTGAGACAGGGTCGCCCTCTGCAGCTCAGGATAACCTTGGCTCACTTTGTAACCCAGGCTGGTCTTGAACTCACAATAATCCTTCTTGCCTAAGCCTCCCAAGTGCTGGGGTTATAGTGGTGAGCTACCATGCCCGGCTCCAGAAGGTAGTTTTTGTCAATTGGAAAACTGACAATATTCATATTTATTCATTCAGTGGAGTCTATAATCCCAGCAACTAAGGAGGCTAAGACAGGACAGAGAATTGGCTTGAACAACTTAGTCAGACTGTCTCAAAATAAAATCAAGGAAAAAAGTATTGGGGATATAGCTTAGTTCTCCCTGGTTTTGGAACAAGTGTAACTAATATTGGAAAAAAATTTAAAATTGCTGGGTATGGTGGCACGTACATTTAATCCCAGTACTAAGGAGGCTGAGGCAGGAAGACTGCTGTGAGTTCAAGGCCAGACAGGGCTAAAGAGTGAGTTCAAAGCCAGCCTGCACTGCACAGTGAAACTCTGGCTCAAAAAGACTAAATAAAAAACTGCACTGTATTGATTTATAAAATATACACCAAATGCTATCAATTAACTGGATAAACATTTGCTTTTAAAATAGTATCAATTGGGGCCAGGGAGATGGCTCAGTGGAATAAGCGCTTCCCTGGCAAGCGCAAGGGCCTGAGTTCAATCCCTGGTTCCGCAAAAAAGTATCAATCTAGAGCCAGGGGTGATGGCGCAGACCGGCCATCTCAGCGCTTGGGAGGCCGAGGTTGAAGGATCACCAGGAATTTGAGGCCAGCCTGGACTATACAGAGTTCAAGCCGGCCTGAATTATGAAATGAGACCCTGTCTCAAAAATAATTAAAACCACCGAACAAAACATAAAACACCTCCCCAAAGCAAAAGTTACTCATCTAAAGCCAGGAGTGGTGATGCGTACCTGTGATCCTGGCACTCAGGAGGCTGAGCGAGGAGGCTCATCACCGATTCGTGGCCAGCATGAATTACAAAATGAGACTCTGTCTGAAAAAGGAAAAAAATCTATCCAAATCTTGCCTTCAGGGAAGAATTTGGAAGGCTACTGTACACTAAAACTTTTTTTTTGGAGGCCAGAAGATGCCTTTAGGGCATTTCTGGTTTGCCGTGAGTATCTGGGTTCGAACCACAGCATCTTGAGCTTGAGTGCTTTCTTTAAGCAGGCACTGAAACAACTGGGCTAATGGGCAGGCCCCCCATACTAAAACTTTTAATTGCTAAATCTAACAACTTTCCTACATATTTACCTCCTAAGTGCTGGCCACGCACTCACTGAGACATATGACTATGGCTGTAGTTCCTGAGGACAAGGAAGCTAACTGTGGTTTCTAAAATGTCTTTTCTGGGCTGGGGAGATAGCTGGGCAGGCTAAGCACCTGCCTGGCAAGCACAAGGACCTGGGTTTGACCACCTATACTGCAGGCCACGCCTGCCCCAGAGCCCTGAGCGTGCTGTGGCGGACAATGAAACCGGGCATGGTGGCGCATGCCTGTAATCCCAGCTCTTGGGAGGCTGTAAACACTGAGTCCGACCTAGTAGTGAGACCCTGAACACCCTGTAGACCCTTCCCTAAAATACAAAAAATAAAAAAATAAACACTGCAGCCGCTCAAGGCACAGCCAAGCCGAAGGAGCTTATTTTTTTTATCTTTTTTTTTCCTTTGTAAATTCTGTTAACTTTAGTTTTTCCTGAAAATCAAATGCACCAGATTCTGGCTAGTGGGTGTAGCTCTGTGGTGGGTTTTTGCCTAGCGTACTAGTATCCTGGGATGGGAAGCAGGTTCTTAGCCAGAGCGGAAAACTGCGCAGCAGGACTGGAACATGCAAATAGCATGCGGTCACACTGTGAGGGGAGACATGCCCCTTGCACAGCAGTCTTGCGGCCCTGAAGCCCAGAGATGAACGCCAGGTACTGGCTGCAAGCCAGGCGACAAAGTGGACAGCTGTATACGTGTGATCAATTTAGACTCAAGATTTCCACTTAGGACAAGTCTACAGAGTGTACAGGGTCTCACTACATAGATCAGACTCGTAATGATTCTCCTGTTTTCAGCCTCCCAACTGCTGGGACGATAGGCGCGTGCCACCATGCCCAGTCTCAATCACGCTCTCAGTGCACCCTGGGGGCGGGGCCGGCAGGCCTGGAGATCGAATCCAGGCCGCTGTGCTCTGCCTAAACAGGCGCTTTAATCCACTGAGCTATCTGGCAGGCCCTCCAATGATTTTTTTTGCGGAACTGGGGATTGAACTCAGACCCTTGTGCTTGCCAAGGAAGCACTTATTCCACTGAGCCATCTTCCCGGCCCCTTCTCCAATGATTTTAAATGGGGGTGGGGAGCAAGAACTAGCCTCTGAACTGGCTGGGGAAGGGGTTATGTAATGATCAACTAGGCCAACACCAGGATGACCCACCCTGGATTACAGCAGCTTAGGGAGAAGGTTGGTCTTCTCTCAGGACTTTTATAGTTTTATGTAGATCCTACTATGTAGGGTGACAGTAAGTATAAAGTGAATTCGAACTTCAGAGGATAAATTGTCAAACCAGAAACTACTGCTTCTAATAATCAGCAACAGAGCTGAAGACCGCCTGGCACACACGAGCACATCCTGCCTACCAGGCTGAACGCCAGGGATACTGCCTTCCAGTCGGTCACTGCGTGCTCACAGCTGCAGCACAAGAACCCGAAGTCGGGTGTCCACCTGTAGAATAATTATAAATTAAGAAAGCTGCCAGGCATAGGATTATACGCACCTACAATCCCAACACTCAGCAGGCTGAGGCAGCAGGATCCTGAGTTCAAGTCCCAACCTGGGTTACACATGTACTGCAAGAGCAGTCTGATTTATAAGGGAAGACACTGTCTATAAAAAATAAGGAAGGAGCTGGGGAAATAGCTCAGTAGAATGAGCACCTGCCTGGCGAGTGCAGGGTCCTGAGTTCAATCCCCAGTACGGCAAAAAAATAAATAAATAAATAAAATAAAAATAAAAATAAGAAAGTAAGAATCTTGCTACACCTGGTCATTTCCCCCCTACCCAGTCTATATAACAGCTGCTTGGCAAATATTTGTTGGGTGACTTTTCATATAATTTCAAACAAGAAAGTAGCCTTTATATAAGTCTATTTTTATTTGTAAAAAATAATATCCAACTAAAGCTAATTTGATTTTTTAAATCAAAAATTCATTTAGTGATAATGTACAATTTATAATAAAACTGTAGTAAAATACTGACATCTGATAGTTTAAACAAAGTATCATTCATGTAAAAATCATGTTATAACATGTAAAATTTAATTAGAAAATTCATAGTTCACAAAAGTACATATATTGTTGACAGCTTGAGAACATTGTCATAAAGTTACTGAAGGTACAGAACAAAATTCACAGTTAGGCTTGACATTTAGCACTATAAAATTTTACACTGGATTCACTGATATTAACGGGTACTTGAAATAACTGATGCAGACGCCAATAAAATGCAATAACTGCATAGGACTTGCCAGTAACCAAGATCCAATGATTTTACAGTATGTCCATTAATCATTTCACCAATAACTTACTGAGATTTAGTTGAAAATACCACTGGTACATATCCTTATCAGGATAATTAATAATTATCTAGCAGCTTTGATTTCCATTTTCACGGATACCAAGATAAATGTGTACTTTACAGTTAAAATCTGTACAAAAGTCAAGCCCTGAAGTATTTTCCCCAAGAGAAAAATTCTAATGTTAAAACTTTGTTAAAAAAAAGAAAGAGAGAGGTAGTGTGTAAAAAGTATTTTTACTTAAAATGTTGAACCCCGGCACCACTTATATCATAAATGAAATTTAACTTGCTACAACAAACATTATCTTGCCATTCAAGAGTCGGATTTCTAAGACTCAAGAATGATAAAGCTGGAATGTTATTATACATAAAAGAACTTCAGTGAATTCGACAAGTACATTGTGCCACATAATGTTGTGTAGTCGGTTAACAGTGTACAGAGAATATCCTTAGTGGTAACGAGAACAGAAAACAGTGAAGTTCTCTGGGTCCAGTGATGATCATTAAGTTAAGACTTCGCTGCTTCATGTATTCACCATACAGAGGAAACATCCTTCAAAACGGAGTCATTTAAATCTTCATTGTTTTAATAGCACACAATTGTTATACAGGTATCCGTACTAGTCCTACCATAAAATTACTTAATAAATAACTCTCCCTAAGCCAGAGGAGAATCAGGTCTCCACACTCCTCTGACCTTCTACTCCACGCATACTGCAGTGCTGAGCACACGATACAATGAAACCAGGCACAGGATGAAAGTAGCAGCCTTACTCCTAGCTCCTCCCAAGTGGATGCACTGGAAAATAATAAATAGCCTCATAAAATTAATAAACTCTACCCGTCATAGGTGAATACTACATATTTCATAAAGTGTAGGCAGTGTTCCTAGACAGCCCAATGAAGGAAAACCCAATTTTTGTATAAAAAGTGCACAAGTTTTTCCTGTATGTAAAACCTTCCTTTGGGTGCCTTTTTAATCCAAAATGATTCATACCACTTGAACTCATTAAGAGTATAAAAAAGCACACCAATGAAACACATATTAAAAACAAAAGGAATGATTTCCAATGTGACTAAGAATGAAGACAAGAACAGGTTAAAGGAGAGCGGCTCCTGCATTGCCAGGCAGTGGAGCTGCCCTCGGAGGCGTTGCTGGTGCCCACAGAGCGCTGTCCGTAACTAGGAAGGTACAGGACGACACACACTGAAGTGAGCACGGGCATGGCTTCACGCTCAGGAAGGCGCTTCAGTGCTGAGTAGTACAGGAGGCAACTCCTAACACTGGCCAGCCGGTTTGATTTTTTAAAAACTGGGGGGAAAATGCATTTGTGAAGAGAATCTGTTACAATTAACAACAAAGGAACATTAAAAAACAAACCAACATACACACACAGTATCAGTGAACCAAAAGAGAAAAATCAGACTTTTTCACATCAGAATTGTAAAAGTACAGCTAAAGGGAAAATTAACGGGTCTCTGCATAGCAGGTTAAATATGCAACCACTTCAAGCAGAAATGATCCAGTCCTCTCACACAGGCTGAGGAATGTGCTCCATGATCCAGTTCTCCACAGAAAAAAAACAGCAGAAACACATAATTTCATTAGCAAAGGCCCTTTTGTTTTAGACATAAATTCACCTCTGAGTCACCAGTTTACAGTAACAATTATCAATCTAGTATTGTAGTAACATTTTAAGCTTGCAATATTATTTTTTCATGCCTGCTCATGTCACTGGTTCAGAGGTGTATATGCTTTAATTCACTAGACAAATTAACATGTTCCACGGCATCCTCAGGATTCGGAAACCCTCACATGATGGCTTCATAATGTTATGATTGTCCCATCTTCTTCTAAGAGTTTCTGATCTGCAGCACGTGCTTCAAATTCTGTGTTTGTGCCACCTGCTACGGGCGCTAAGCTCACTGCATTAGAAGCAATAAAACCATTCTGTTCAGACTCAAAACTGAGTTCTATTTGTGTCAAGGACTCCAGGCTCTCAGCAGCAGGAACAGCCTTTGGAATCTGCTGCGGCACTCCATTGTCTTCAATAATAATGTCGTCTTCTTCACTGTCTTCATCCTCCGGCTCAAAGCTTGGTTCAATGTGCTGCGAGTAGCCGAGAAGGCTATTGTCAGTAGACTGGCCAGAGCTGCCGGAAGTCCGACTGTTCCTAACGATGTTATTCCTCTGGTTTGCGGGTCTCACCGTGATGATGAGGTTCCGACTGTTCGCGATCATCATGTCTGTTACTTGGTCAAGACTCTTCCCTGAAACTTCTATGCCATTAACTTCTAAGACTTCGTCATTAACAGCTAATAGTCCAGTGCTTTGAGCCAGACCTCCTGGGACGAGCCTGGATATGAAAATCCCTGGGACCTTCTCCAAGCCATGGGGTGTTACCCTGACACTGGAGCCATCTCGGATATAGAATCCCAGGGGTTTCTCGGTGCCGTATTTGTACAGACGAACTCTACGATGTGTTTCAGGCAGAATATCCACATCTATTATGGAAGACACAGGTCTGAAGTCTTGTGGCATACTAATGACTATGTGGGGCTTTTTTCTATGGTTGTCAGGACGTAATACATTAGTTAAAACATTCTTCTTCTTTATTAGTGTGTCTGTACCAAAGGCACTGTAGTCTGCTTCTTCTGTTTAAAAATAAAATGAAATAGTTACAGAAATGTAAAAACACTGACAGCTGAATTTGCACAGAAAGGATACAACTCACCTATACCTGTTACATAGACAAACTAGCTAAATATAAGCTTACTCTACTCAGAACAAAATATATAATAAAAATAAGCCAGAAAAAAAAAAAAAAAAACACTAGGGGGCCCTCTTAAACTTCACAAAATAACTAAATACGTAAGTTAAATCTGATAAGGCTCTTTGATTATTAAATAGTATTAACCCATGGCAAATGAAATTCTTTTTTTTTTTTTGTATTTTAGGACAAGATATACAGGGTGTACAGGGTCTCACTGTGTAGATCAGACTCGTAGTGATCTGCCTGTTTACAGTCTCCCTCCCAAGTGCTGGGATTACAGGTACACGCCACCATATCCAGTCTCAACTGCCATCTCAGTGCGCCCCAGGGGTGGGGCCGGCATGGCAGGCCCAGTGATCAAACTCCGGGGCCCTGCGTTTATTAGGCCGACCCTATGAAATTCTGATAGAATTTACAAACTCATGTTTTGGAGACAGGATTTGGCTGTGCTGCACAAGCTGGTCTCAAATGATCCTCCAGTCTTAGGTGGGAGCAGCTGGGACTATAGGTACATAACACGTAAGCTACAAACTCATGCTTAAACATGTTAAGCCAACTACTTTATCTCTCTCTCTCTCTCTCTCTCTTTTTTAACATTTATTTAGTGTGTGTGTGTGTGTGTGTGTGTGTGTGTGTGTGTGTATGGCCAGCTCAGCCCACCAGGAGGGTGGGGGCTGGCTGGCATGCGGTGCTGGGGGATCGAACCGCAGTCCCTGTGCTTTGCTAAGCTTGTTCCAAGTAGGTGCTTTAGACCACTGAGCCATCTCTCCAGTCCCAAGCCAACTACTTTAAATATATATTTTTTTCATTTGTTTAAAAAGCCTCCAATTTACATATTTATCACATTTAGCCCAAGAATATGAGAACCAGCCTCAGTGGCACAAGGCTGTAAATCCAGCTCTTTTGGAAGCTGAGGTAAGAGGATCATAAATCTGAGGCCACCTCACACAGAAACTCTCAAAAAATAAAATACAAATGGCTGGAGATGTAGCTTAGTAGTAGAGCATGTGTCTAGCATTATGTGAAACCCAATCTCCAATACTAAAAATGAAAGGAGAGTGCACAAAATCAAGTATGTGTATGTCTCAGCAAGTGGGGAGATAACAGAAGCCAGTGGACACAGCAAATACTTAGGGAGTCTGGTTTACAAATCAACTCCCTTCCTCAGTTTCCTGGAGTATGTGTTTCTCAATATTTCATTTTTTCTACCTTTCAAGATTTTTAAACTTTTTCTTCACCATATGAAAAACAAAGTGTAGGGCTGGGGAGATAGCTCAGTAAAATAAGTGCTTGCCTGGCAAGTGCAAGGGTCTGAGTTCAATCTCCGGTTCTGCCAAAACAAACAAAATGTAATGTCTCAGTAGCATGACACAGACAACAGGGAGTGCGTGGTTGACAAGCAACAAACCAGTTACTGCCTCGTTTAAGCGGCAGTGCTGCTCCTCAGCTCCTGGCAGATTTTCTTCACGACAGAAACCTTATGTTCGGGCAAAAATCTTCACATTTAAAATGCTAACCTCAAACCACGTGTGGGGGCATGTGCCTATAATCCCAGCCCCGGGAAGGCTGAGACAGGACAATCACTATGAGTCTGAACTGCATAGTAAGACCCTGTATTAGATTTTTTAAAAAAGCCAACCTCTAATGAAATAACTTCAACAAAAAAACCTATTAATCCCAAATCTGAACCTTCTGAATTCACTCTGAAAGCTACCAATTTAGAATCTCTGACATAAGCTATGGAAAACCAAGACACCTAACCTCAGATACTGTTAAATCATGTGGCTGAAGGAAGTCCATAAAAGAAACATCAGAGAAAGAAGTTAAAAACGAACCTGAAACTGATAACAGGAACCAAAGTTAAAATCAAAGCTTCTTTTTTTGGTACCGGGAATCAAACGTACGACCTTGTGCTTGCCTGGCAGGTGCTGTGCCACTGAGCTATAGCCCCAGCCCTAAAATCTTATTTTCAGAGCTAACTGGAATGAGACCAGGCCTCTTGGCACATGGCTGTAACTGCAGGACTAGGGAGCTGAGGCTGAAGACTTGCTGAGTTTGAGGATAGCCTGGGCTACATAGTGAGTTCAAGGTCAACCTGGAACATATAGTAAGACTCTCAAAAACAAAAAGCAAACGACAAACCCTCAAAAAACCCACCTGAAATGAGAAAACTAAAAGTCCAATTTCCTAAGATTAAGAAAGTACTTCAATAAGTATAAGAGAAGGGCCAGCCAAATAACTCAGCAGATTAAAGTGCCTACAAGCAGGTGCAGGGGCCGGGGGTCCATCCCAGGGCCTGCCTTGCTGGCCCCGCCCCCGGGGCATGCTGAGATGGCAACTGAGACTGGGCTCCTGTAATCCTGGCTCTTGGGAGACTTGTGGATCACTACAAGTCCAATCTAGCAGTGAGACCCTGAACACCCTGTAGACCCTTCCCTAAAAGTACAAAAAAAAAATCCCACTTTAGGAACAACTCTCCCAGAGTAGACCTTGTTCACAAGTTGGAAATTTACTACACACCTTATTCATGACATTTTCCCCTATCAGGGAAACTTTTACCTTTGTTTATAATATATTTACAGTGTTTTTACTGAATCAGAAATTTACTGATTTTGAAAATAACTTCACTGATGGAAGAGCCTTTCTGGTAAATTTGGCCAAAGGCTATAAGACTAGTCTTTTAAGTTAAAGTACTTTCTCACACATTTATATTTGTATTTTTATTTTTCCATAATGAAAGCCTACAAAGTATTTATAAGGGAAATTCCAGACCATACAAACTGAGAACAAAATCAAGTTGCCTACATACCAACTCATGGGAAACCTGACCAAAACACCCCAAATCTGCATAATTTGGCATCGTGACCGGACTCCATTTGAAAGCTCCCCGCTAAATTCTCAAAAGCAATATGCCCCAGCACAAAGGCACCTTTGTTCTCCCATCTAGCTAATCAGTTTCCAGCCACTGGGAAAAGAAATATTTTGGCAGAAAGCCAGCACGCAGGGTGTTGGTGTAAAGTGTAAAGGTGAACGTCCACAAGGAGCCGGGCCGACTCTGCACCAAGTGTGTACTTCAGAGGGCTCAACTCGGAGTGAGACGCGAGTTTGCAAACTCGACCACAGCAGCCCTGCACTGGACAGACTCGGACTTACGAGAGCCTGCTACAGGCCCACAGCAGGGGCTCACTTACCCCGCCTGACCCTCGGCCAACAATGTCAGGTCTCTAACCCACAAGCACCTATCTCGAAAGCTCGGAAGGCTTCCTCACACTGAAAGCTCTGGTGTTACTCTCACCGAGGAGCCCACAGGCCTCCTCCACACCTCGGACTCTAAACTTTATTTCTGAAAAGCCTGCTTATCTCATTCCTTAGCAGCCAGAGGGTCCTCTGCACACACCCAGAACAAGAAGAAAAGGGTCCACTTCTCAGCAGCAGGCACAGAGATCACAACATTAAAGGCTACAGTGAATGAAAAGCAAATCTGGAAAAATGAAACATCATACATAAATCCTATCAGCATCCCACGCACCTGCCTGGCAAGGTCCTGAGTTCAATCCTCGGTACTAAGGAAAAAAAAAAGAAAGAAAGAAAGAAAGAAAGAAAGAAAGAAAGAAAGCAAGCAAGCAAGCAAGCAAGCAAGCAAGCAAGCAAGCAAGCAAGCAAGCAAGCTCAAGATTAAGCCTCGGGGCTGGTGAGATGGCTCCGTGGTCTAAAGCACCTACTTAGAACAAGCTAAGCCAAGCAAAGCACAGGGACCTCGGTTCAATCCCCCAGCACCACATGCCAGCCCGCCCGCCCCCTGGTGGGCTGAGCTGGCCACACACTAAATAAATAAATATGTCCAATTTAAAAAAAAAAAAAAAAGATTAAGCCTCATCTGAAGCTCACAAGAAGACAGCGAGGAATGGCGTGCCTGTCCACAGTGCTCTACCCGGCACTCATGAGCTGTCCCACCGAGAGTTACAAGTACCTGCTTTCGGTGCTACAGGCTGTGCTGTCTCTTAAAAAGTAGCCAAAGGTGCCACACAATGGTGTAAGCGCGGATGTGTTTCAAGTAAACTTACAAAATACCCAGGCTTTAGTTTGCCAACTGTATTCTAATCCAAAATGGTTAAATGAAACAGACCTGGCATCTTTAACAAGATTAAATATCACTTTAAGCAACATTCCAATTTTAGAGACCTTTTTCACTTCCAATATAGAAAACTTAATCACCAAATATTTAACCAACACTGAGGTGCCAGGTATGGTGCTGTGTGGTGCTGGCTCAAGGCACAGACTGCCGCCTGCTTGTGCCTGACAGAGGAGAGGGCGGCTAACAATGCTGCCAGGTTATTGGGCGGTGACAAAGGTGCCAAGGGGAGGCACACATGAGGCCTGGCCTGGTGTGCAGGGGGAGGTGACACTTTCTTGGGAACTGAGGTTTCTGTGGAGACTGAAAAAGCAGCAGCAGCTAAACAGCCAGAAGGGCACAAGATGCCACCCATGGAGAAGAGCGAGGGTGGGCGTGTGAGGGCCTGTGAGGTCTGAAACAGGCTGCTGGGGGAAGGGGGTGCTGTGGCCAGCCAGGCAGACGGAGCCTCCTGGGAAGTGGTGAGGTTTATAGGCTTTAGCCTCAGAGCCAGGAGAAAACCTAGGATTTTCAGGGAGAAAGATGATATCCCATCTTTTTTATTTTTTATTGTTTGCAGTACCAGGGATTAAACTCAGGACCCTGTGCTTGCCAGGCAAGTGCTTATTCTACTAAGCTATCTCCCCAGGCCCTTTAATTTTTAAAAAAATCTATCCATCCATCCATCCATCCATCCATCCATCTATCCAGTACAGGGTCTTGCTCTGCAGCTTAGACTTGTAGTGATCTCCTGTCTCAGCCTCCCCAGC